ATTATCCTATCATCCTAAAGGGCACAATCAGAAGAAGTAAGGGTACGGATTGTCTACCACGTTGTAATCAAACCCTCAAAATGCTGCAAATCAGCAAGGCATGACTGAGAGGGACTCAAAATATGAATTTGGATCATGAAGTCTCTCTACCCTTGGATTTATTTAACCATGCTGTCCAACTTTGTGGAGGTTGTGGCTCCTGGAGGTTGGACTTACAAAAGGGGGATTTACAACTCCCTTTTATGCACACATGGACTTGCTTCGGTTTTGTCCCTGAAATGACTTGCTTTAATTTGTGGCAACATATCTTTTGATTTCTCATTTCCTGCCAAGAGGGTTCGATGTGGAGGCTAATCCTGGAAGGATGCTGGAAGAGAGAGGTACGATTCTTCAAGTTTAGACACTATCATAGGTACCCCTGGCGTCTCAGTGGTTCCTCAAATCAGCCCGAAGACTGGCATATAAACCAGTTGTGCCCTAAAAATCAATTGTAGGAAATAAACAACCTGTCACTGGCTAGATCATTTTTCAAATTCAGAATAGAAAAGAGTCTTCAGTGTAAGGAGCCAGCACACATGCCCAGGTTGTCAGAGGACGATTCCTTGTTTCAGGATAATTGCTGTGGGTCTTACTTGTCACTGTGTACATGGATATCCTCAAGGTCTCTGGTCTTCTTTCATAGACTATACACATTCCAACCATGGAGAACGGTCCTAAGCTTGCAAGCCGCATCTTGGACAAATTGACTGATATTCAGGTAAGGGCTTCTTTTTCTAAAATGCCATCGTATTTCATTCAGAGCCTAAAACCAAATCATACTTCAGTGGAGAGAAGACAGCAAGTACTACCACTTGAGGTCAACAAATTAAATTTAAGGAAGATGTTTCTGATAGTATGTGTGGGCATGAGCAAAACAGAAATGGGAAAAAATTTACATGTTAAAAAAAAAATAAAGGAATGGATGAAGGGAGGAAATATTTTCAATCTACATTGTCAGGGACTCCAAATTCCTTAATATTTTAAATGTATATATATAAACTTTGATAACACTTAAAAATCTCATTGAATTGCTTTTATAGAAGAAAAAACTTGAAAGTAGAAGGAAACATAGAAAAAAATTAATATTACCTGTGATTCCATCATAGACAGAACCACCCTTAACTTGTGATATCTCAACTTTCAATATTTTATAAGCATTTATATATTTTTAGTTTTTTCTAACAAACTGGAATCATACATAATTATTAAACTTTTTCATTTCATAAATCTTACTTTTCATATCAGTAAATTTTAAAATTCTGTGTATAAAGTTTAAGTGAACTTCATTCGTTGATATAAGATAACTTTTAAAGAAATCTTACTGGACACTCGTGTTGTTGGAACTTCTTTCACTATTATGAACAGTGTATCTTTGATTATTCCATTAGGATAAATTCCTGGAATTGTAATTATCAGGTCAAAAAGTGGGCATCTTTTTTTTTTTTTTTTAATACTGTGAACTCTGTTTTGTCTGTTTTTCTCTGAGCAACAGTCTTCAATAATGTCACCAGGCAGTTAAACATCTTTCCAGGCAGGCATATCAAATGCCAGGTAAATCTGGATCACCAATAAAAGATACTAAAATTTGCTGAGCCCAGATGCCATGATTGTCGGTCAGTGAAAATACTGGAAGGAGCCAAGATTTATACTGAAATGTGAAATCAAGTTTGATTGATGGGGTGACAGCAAACAGTGCTGGGTCTCAAACCCTAAGCAAAAATTTAAATTTGGTTGAGAAAGCAGCAGGTCCCTACAGAGCAATTGAGAACTTTGGATAAAAACATTGGTTTTTTTTTTTTTTTTTTGAAGATTTAGCAACTTATGCAAAATGTACAATATTAAAAGAAAAGAATGATTGTGGTCTTTGAACCAATGAATTGTCTTACTTCTATTCTTCAATAAATGTTTCTATGGGAATTTTCTATAAGCTAAATAAAGGAATAGCTTAATATTATTGAAAGGCTTAAAATTTACTCAAAGTTTTCTACTTTTTGCACATAGAAGCAATCAAAAGTAATTGAATTTTTAAAAAATGCATGGATGGTTCAAGTATTTTTACTTTTAGAGTTGTCTGAGTAAATTTGATGAAGGTGGATAAGTTATTAGTGTTTTGCTCAAATCAAAAACATAAATAGAGCCAAGAATATATAATTGGCTAGACTGTGAAAACCTTTATCTAAAAAGAAGGTGCAAGATTTTTAAGAGGGGAGAAAGTGTGGCTATAGTGATAAAAAGATGACTTCAGAGAATTTCCTTAAATTGACCAGAAGAGCATGATTCATTCTATAGCAGTTTACCCTTAAGAGATTTCAGAATTACCTCTTAGAAATTATATGAAGTAAAAAAAGTTGAAGTTATTTAATTTGGTTGTAAAGGATTAAAAGGAAAGGGAAAGTAGTCAACTAGGCTGAGGGGAAAAATTAAACTCTCTTAAATATCAATTAGAAGGAAAAGCCAAGTCGAGGTGTTCAACCAACGCGGTCGTGAAGCTGTGGAAGGCAAACACAGAAATGTGTGTCATCCCTGTTGAGATGGTAACAAAATATATGCACCCAAACCTAAAGTATGAATAAGAGAAGCCCAAAGACAATTTGGGGGCAAGATGGGAAGCCATTACAAAAGGTCTCAGAAGGACCATTTTTAAAAGATTACAGAAGCCAAGAATGTAGATGACGGAAGGGAATGTTTTTGATTCAAAAATACAAGGTATGAGCGTAAACCGAGTGTTGGAGCCTTGTTACGGGTGCTGGTGATGGAGTAGCGGAAAAAGTAATTCCAAAATTAGAGGAATCGGAGCACACTGATTTAGAAGGACAAATCTATTCAATTTAAATATGAAACCATATGAAAAGGTTCAAAAGTAAAAGTTATATATAAAGCAGAGAATGAGAAGAAATACATTTCCCTCTTGCCTGTGTGTATTCTCTATATAACTTAGTGCCTGTGGCTAAGAAGCTCATAATTTCTCTTTTTCACTCTAGGTAGTGAAGTATAATGACAGTAAGACTGAAAACCAATGACACATTCAGAGCCCCGTAGTGAACAAAGAAACAAAGGGATATTTGAGATAATACAGTGATTCCGAATTAAACCACAAATCTCCTCCAAATTGTTAAGTAACAAAGAACCATCCACTTGGAGTCTAAGACCACCTCTTTCTTCTTCAGTTATTTTATGCCTGTGGGCGTGGAACCTACAGTTTCAAAATTATTCTCGTACAAGATGGCAAATTGGTGCTGTCAGCCAAGCTACTAAATTGTCTGTTTCTCTCCAAGAAAAATACTTTAAGTAATTACTGAGGAAAAAGCATAGAATTGCATCATGTTTTACATTTGATCTCTTTGACATTACATGGAAACATGATGTTTCCTGCGAACCGCTCTGGTAAATTGAAGAAGAGAAGAACACTATTGAAATCTTTAAAGCTCTTGCCAGTGTGACCTGGGGGGAAATTCCTCGTTAACCACAGACTGGATTTTCATTTACCTTGTGTACTTCTGTGTGTGAGTAAGAACCTCTGAGGCTAAGTGTTCGTTCCATTTGGCTAATTAGCCATATAGTTCCGTGAGTCTTAGATTGTCCTGCAAACACCTGTTAGAATGGAGGTAGTTCAAATGACAATTTTTTTTTCCTTTTCTCTTTTTAAAGAAAAAAATGCAACAAAGGAAAACACTTCTGGGTTCATATTTAACCTTGAACTTGGAGAATGTCACCATGCTGCCCGTGTTTCCATTCCTTCCCATTGTCCTTTGCTGTTCCGTT